AATATCTAAATCCTGGAACATTAAGCTACCAGTCTTGTCCCTCTCTCAAAGCTACAACATCATTGTTATATGTATTAATCCAAGCTTTAAGTTAATTTGTCTTACCTGTAATACTTCTCACGTTAAAACAAATGCAGCTCAGATTGCCAGTCCTGCCGTGTTCAGTAACCTCTCCCTATCTCTTTTTCCTCTTAACCTTATGGCCTTAGTCTCTAACTCCACCTTGGTCATTTTACTTGCTGATCTATTGCTCTGGTTCCTGCCCCCTTGTCACACTAATTTAAAGCCCCAGAACAGCACTAGCAAAAATCCTTGCCAGGATATTGGTGCCCCTCCAGTTTAGATGCCACCTGTCCTTCTTGTACAGGCCCCACCTGCCCCTGAAGACATTCCACTGATCCACATGCCTGAAGCCTTTCCACCTACACAGCTCTTTAGCGAAGTACTTAACTGTACTATCTTCCTATTCCTAGGCTCACTGGCAAGTGGCATGGAAAGTTTTCCCAAGATTACAACCCTAGAGGTCCTGCTTTTCAATTTCCTACCGAACTCCTTGAATCCCTTTGCAGGACCTTATTTCTCTTTCTGCCTATGTCATTAGTACCAATATGGATCACAACCTTTGGCTGCTCACCCTCCCTTTTCAGAATATCCTTTACCCTGGATGAGGGAGGCAACACACCATCCTAGAGTCTCACTCACAGCTACAGAAATGCCTATCTCTTCCCCGAATGTACAGTTTCCTATCACTACCACTCACCTACACTTCAACCCTCCCTGCTATACAACAGTGCTAGTCATGGTGCCACTGATCTGGCTGCTGCTGCTGCTGCTGCTTTCCCCTGAAAGTCCATCACCTCTTTGAGAGGGGAATAGCCACAGAGGTCTCCTGCACTGACTGCTCAGATTTACAGGTCTTCCTAGTGGTCACCCAACACTTTTCTGTCTGGTGAGGACCATACTGGTGATGTGACCAGCTTGCTAAACATGCTATCCATGATGTTGTCAGCCTCATGGATGGCGTAGAATCAATCCATTCACAGCTCCAGACACTCCATGAAACAAACTAGGAGCTACAACTGAACATACTTAGTCATAGTCAGCATGGACACTGGAAGTGTCCCTGATTTCCCACATATAGCAGGAGGAGCCTTCCGCAGGGTTCCTGAGCAGCCAAGCCTGTCCTGATCCTTTTCTCAGTCGTGTTGACTGAGCCAACTTCTTCCAGGGCCCTCCTTGTTTTCTTCTCACCAGCATCTTCTGTTAGATCCTCTTCCTCCTGATGAGAACCAGGTCCTTTGCATTCCCCTTCTCAGTCATGGTGACTGAGCTGACTTCTCCCAGAACCCTCCTCGGTTGCTTCTCACCAGTGTCCTCTGTTAGTTGCTCTTCCGCCTGATGAGCATTAGGTCCTTTGCGATCCCCTTCTCAGTCGTGTCGACTGAGCTGACATCTCGAGAATCCTGCTCAGTCGCTTCTCACCAGCACCTTCTATCAAGAAAGGTGGCACCATACAAGATAGCAATAGCAATAACTGCAGATGCTGGAGTCAGAGACAACACAGTGTGGAGCTGGAGGAAAACAGCGGGTCAGGCAGCATCAGAGGAGCAGGAAAGTTGACATTTCAGGTCGTGACTCTTCTTCAGAAAACCCCCCATTTAAATCCCAGAATTAAATCTGGCTTGATAGATTTTTTTTTTAGCATTGTGTTCATTCAATGCAAAATATTCACCCAAGCTGTAGATTTCTTTTTAATAGTAGGACAGAAGTTTATTATGCAAAAAAAGCAACCCAAATTATCTAAATATAGAAGCTTGTAGAACAATATGAAAACACAGACCAAAACACAGTTGCATCCATTTGGCAATATATCATTTTACATGGATTCAAATTCCAAAGAAATTACCTTTCCATATCAAATCTTTAGGTTTGACCCAATTGCTTCTCCTAGTTTTGTTCGATGAACTATGAGTTCTTTCACAATGCTCACAAAATAGAAAGCTTAAACTTTCTCAGTTTTTGAATAATCTGCAGATTTCTAACAAAACACTTCTGGGTCTTCTTTTACCCCAAAGTAATTGTGTTTCCTTGAACTATCGTATACTCATTTTTAGAAGAGAAACTATGTTTCAGGTCTACTCCAGAACTGCCTTGAAACCCCTCAATCACCTTGATTACTCTACACCAAAATCAAACTGATGCGTTTCAATGTTTACTCCCTTCTCATAAAATTCACATTATTAAAAATCTTTCATTAACAGTCCAGAGAGTCAGATGGTCTCTGACACACATTGGGTTAGGTAATGGTTCTGAGAGGACTCTGACTTTGTTTTTCTTTAAACCCTTCACAAAAGTAACCAATGCCCATATGCAACTAGTTTGAAGTTGAAACTAAAATACATGATATTGAAATCACACACCTTTCATCATACTTTCCTTTGTCTTTGTAGCAGTGTTATACACTGAGTGGCTTGCTAGACCATTTCACAGGACATTTAAGAGTCAACCACACTGCTGTGGTCTGAAGTCACATATGTAGACCAGGCCAGGTAAGCAAACTTATTCCCTCGAAGAACATTAGTGAATCAGATTTTTTTACAACAATCACCAGTGCTTACATGGTCACCATTAGACCAGATTATATTTTATTGTATTTTTTAGGGCATTGTTCGGCATTCCACTTCATGTGGGAACCTTCCCTTACTCATGTTGCAATTTGAGTGCAGGCTGATGGTGTCTAATGCTGTGGCCTCCTGAGATAGTTCACATGGAAGAAAACTGACCTCCTGTACTCATCCAACTACGCCTGCAGATCTTTGTCTGTGCAGCAGGGGGCAAGTTTGCCTTTCTTTTGAGACATTGCTTTGATGTTAAATATCAGCAGCACAGAATGAGAAGTCATTGCTGGCTTGCAGCAATTGAAGAGCTGTCTAACTAGACTTTAATTATTGGGCAAGGGATGTGGAAGCCAGAAGGTCCTAGGTGTGGCAGCCATTTCCAACTCATGCTCCACAAGATTCCACAAGAAACATATCTAACATCTCAGTTGCACAATTGGTGAAAAGTAGAAGTTTGCGCAAAAAAAATCCATATTGGATTCTTGTTGAGTGGATGTCATGAAACTCACCACCACACTTTATTTTAAAATCAAGCTGTTCAGGTATGCTAGTATACACCTCTATAAATAGGTTGAACTTGAACCCAGGACTTTAGTCAGGAAATAGGGACACTACCACTGCACTGCAAGAACCCTTACCACCACACTTTAACTGCATTTGAGTACATTCCGCCCAAAAGACTTGGCTTCAAATTCTGCCTGCTCAGAGGTGTATCATAACACACCTGACCAGGTTGATATAAAAATATTTAAAACCACCAAGCTTGAGCACAATTATGTCTGAAATTGTAACTGGGGAAAAAATAACTTGTGAGCAAGTCCTCTAATTTAAATTCACCTGAAGTTAAGGGATAAACAAATAAATTCCTTAAAAAGAACTAATGGAAAACAGTCTAGGTGTTTTTTTTCTATTAAGAAAGGGAAGATTTGTTTTGGGAAAAAATAAGTTCAATACCTGTCAGCATAGCAACACCTTTATTTATATTTGGGATAACTTTAAAAAAGGAAAATAGCAAGTTATTTTTTAGGGAAGTTTTTTTTTAAGAAAGCCAAACAAGCAACAAATGGTTATCCTGGGAACTATGTGGGAACACTTAATTTATGCTTTAAAGATTATTTTAAAACAATTTATTGAACAGTAAAGTTTCTCCAGAACTTCTAAAAGGGATAAAATAGTAATTAATGGGATGCCCAAGTTAGAACGAAATTAGGAAGAACTCACCCCGGGTTTAGTTCAATGAAACGTACCAATGTACGTTGTGTTGAACGTAAAGCCTAAATAAGGCTAATAAGTTGAATGATTTCTTTTGGGGATTTGTACCTCCTTGCCTGTGAACTTTGTAAGGGAATTGAATTTCACAGTCTGGCTACACCCACAACATTACAATCATGTAGAGATGGATAAGCAAAGATCTTATGACAGACACTACTGCCTTCCATATTTTGATAAGATCACCTGAAATTCAAGAAAGTTTGGAATGATGCTGATAAACTGTTAGAAATGTGCAGAAGTGATTTATTACATGTGAAGTAACTAACACATGGAGTGAATAGAGAAAATACACAGAAGAATGGGACTCATACATGTAAATCTGTTTTCTATTATTCAGTCATTGGTGGGATGTCAGCACAACTAGCTAGACCAGTACTTAATGTCCATCCCTAAATGCCTAATTGGTGATGACCTGCCTTCTTGAATCATTACAATCCATTTGGTGCAGATACACCTACAGTGCTACTACGGAGGCACTTCCAGGATTTTTACCCAGCAACACTGAAGGAATGGCAATATATTTCCAAGCCAGGACAGTGAGTGGCTTGGAGGGAATACCACTATTTGACTAACTGGTTAACGCAACCTGAAGAGTATGAAAAAGAATAAGTATTTTAAATGATCAATGCGCTGCATCTATAGGGAAACTGATTTTTGAAAATAAGCATGGAAATGGTGAGGGAGTAAAAATTAAAGGGAATTTTGGGTTGGGACAACAGAAGGCTAAAGAGGTGACAACAGAGGTGATTAATAGTGAATCAGAATTATCCACAAGATTCATATGAAGAAAAGGTGGATAATCTTCTAAGTTCTTTCTAATTGTTTAACTCTCAATGGTGGGTCTTCTCTAATGATGGGGGAAGGTTCACCTCATGCCCATTAAAAACTTGATGGCTACTAAATGGCTGTGGAACAAGCAGCCAAGCATAGGTTGATATCCTCTTCCAGCATAAACATCATCCCTACTGTATTAATCGATCAACACAAGATATTATCTAAGTTGCCAATGGTTTCCAATTAAATTGTATGATATGAACAATAATCCACTATTTAAATATGTGATAAAATTTATCTAATTCACAGACCAATTTAACTGTTAAAATGGCTTACCATTTAGGAATCTGATGTATCTGCGAACAATATCTTTGAAAGCTTTCTTCTCTCTGTGCCCATGTATTGACTGGTTCAGTGCTCCCCATTTGTCAGATGCAGAAATAGCATGGACAAAAATATTTCCCAGCATTTTCGCAGCACCAGTGAGAATTCCATCAGTACAATCCAAAACACAAAAGTATATCTCCTGCAAGTAGGTATACCGGTTAACCAAATGTGAGTATACCAAAATTCATGGAAAATGCAAGTACAATAATTCCTTAGCTTCTCATCTGTATCACCACACAGAAAAAAGTAAGATTATCTACAAAAGCATACTTCACTGCTAGCAGGGAACCTAAAATAAAAAACTGAAAATGCTGGAAATTCTCATCAGAACTCAACAGGAACGTCATAACCTGAAAACATAAGATAACTCTGTTTTTCTCTCTCCACAAATAATTTGATGACACCTTTCGCATTTTCTGTGTTCAACTGAAGATTATCTACTTGATACAGTCAAAGCCATAGTATCATTACAACATAAAAGATAATATTTCAAAGTAAAGCAGAAGCAATGTCACCAGTGTCCTGGTGAATGTTTATCCTCAATCAAAGCACTAAGCAGATTCCCTCGGCATGAGCACATTGGTGTTTGTGTGAGCTTGTTGTGCTATGAAATGCTATGAAACTAAAACACTCTGGTTAGTCAAGATGAAGGATGTGACAGAATACAGAAATAGTAACAACAACTTACTTTTACACAGAATCTTTAATGTGACAAACAAGCCAAGTCATTTAACAACACATATCAGACAAATTATTACTCCATAAAAACCTAAAGAACTGCGGATGCTATATAGCAGGAACAAAAACAGAAGTTGCTGGAAAAGCTCAGCAGATCTGGCAGCATCTGTGAAGAAAAATCAGAATTAACGTTTTGGGTCTGGTGGCCCTTCCGCAGAAGGTTCTGAGGAAGGGTCACTGGACCCAAAACATTAATTCTGATTTTTCTTCAGAGATGCTGCCAGACCTGGTGAGTTTTTCCGGCAACTTCTGTTTTTGTTCCAAATTATTACACCAGGTTACATCAGGTAAAATTAGGCGATCAAAAGCTAGGTCAAACTAATAGATTTTAAGCAGTGTCATAAAAGAAATAAGAGAGATTGGAAGGTGAAGAGGTTTCCAGAGGGAGTTCCAGAACTTCAATTCTCAGCATTCTAAGGCACATTGCCAATAGTAAAGCTGCAAATGAGATTTAGTACAGATAAGTGAAAAATATTATATCAGCAGAAAATATTGGGAGCATTCTTAATAAATGGTGTCAAACTAGCTAGGAAAGTAGTTAAAGTATATTTGGGAATAATAATATCTATTCCTGTAAGGTAAAAGGTAAAGCTGCCATTGTCCAAGAAGACCATAGGGTTGCCTTTTCACAAGACAGAGACATAAGTGGTGAGATTAAACTGAGGGTCTCCAGGTCTCAGGTAAGGGGGGATGTTGAGAAGGCAGGTTACAACATTTAAAAAACATTAGGGCAGGTACATGGGCAGGAAAGGTTTAGAGGGATTATGGGCCAACCGCAGGCAAATAGGGCTAGTTCAGTTTGGGAAACCTGGTTGACATGGAGGGGTTGGACCAAAGGGTCTTCTTCCAGGCTGTATGAATCTATAACTCTATGACTACAGAGACTACCTTTCAATTCTAAATTTATTGATTGAATTTAAATTCGCCCAGCTGCCATTGTGGAATTTGAACCCATGCTCTCAGAGCATTAGATTGGGCCTCTGGATTGCTGCTACCAAAAAGTTGTCTCATGATCTGCAGTTGCTGCCTTATCACAGCCCTGCATTGAGCAATGTATCTATTTAAAAGATATTAGTATATCATTATGTTACTTCAGGAAGTCGCAATGTATTTTACGACTGATTAGGTACTTTTAGAAAGTAGCCAAACTTGGTAAACTAGGCAATGCAACATCCAAAGGAAGTGCAATATTCACAGTGTGCACAGCAAGCTCACACAAACACCAATGTGCTCATGCCGAGGGAATCTGCTTAGTGCTTTGATTGAGGATAAACATTCACCAGTACACTGGTGACATTGCTTCTGCTTTACTTTGAAATATTATCTTTTATGTTGTAATGATACTATGGCTTTGACAGGTAGAATAGAAGTATAGAATATCCTTTGTTGTCACGTGTACTCCATTGCAGAAGTACAGTGAAAAACTTTTACAATCTACCTCTTATGGCACCATCTCAGGTACAAGTACCTAGGTACAAATCTGTATTTTGTCCTGGTTTTTTTAATGAAGAGAGGTTGAGACAGAGGTACCGAACAGTCTGTTTCAAGCAAATTTAGGAAACAGCTTGTGAAGTCTTGGTTTTCTTTTTAAGTTGGAACAATAGAAGCAGCGTGGAAGGCCACTGTCAGACATCACGAAACAGGGTTTTTTGTTTAGCTTTCAGTGGCTGTTGGGGTTTGGAAGTTGGCCGTGGAAGCTCTCTCTCTCTCTCTCTGTTACAGCTAAAAGCTTGGGTTTTCTTTCTGCTGCTAGAATCGCATGCAAGACAATCTATTTTACTGACTTTGCCTTTACCAAGGGTATGTTTATGGAATGTTGTTGGATTGGAAGAGTTGCTGTTTAATAGATAAATAATCTATTTTTCTGTTAAGTTTTCCAATAAAGTCAAGTTATTCCAATTCTTCTTTCTTTTGTTTGTATTTTAACTGGAGGTAAGAATAAAGTGTGTTTTGCTTAAAGCTGAGTAGTGCGATCAATCGAATTACATCTGAAACACAACACCTTAGCTTTAAAAAGATAAAAGTTAGCATCTAGGCTATCTCCCTGATATATTTGGAAGGGCTTTGGGCTGATTCATAACAATGTGCATTTAAGTATTAAGTCACAGCCTTGGTTGAGTATTTCATCTAAAAGGTGACACTTCAAACAGTTTGCACTCATTGCTATTACAGAACCGAGAGCTAATAGGCCAGCCATCCAAAAAAATGAATTTACAGAACAAAAAGAATCTGGGGTTTACTAAGAATGCCCCAACTTGTTGAACTGCTCCAGTCTAAGTCAGGCAGAGTGTTTAAGCCATGTATGGAACATGCCCAAAAGGAGAACTGTTCACAAGAGGAGGTAGGTGACAAGGGAGTCAATGTCAGATTAATAACATTCTACTTCTCATCTATCTGTAAGCAGAGTTGCTGTATTTTTTTTACTTATCTTTGTTTCTCCCCTTTGAACTCGGGCATAGCACATTCACCCAAACCCTCTGCTTGCAAAGTCCACTTTGAAAAAACACTATAACAAACTGCCTTCAGGGTTTTAAAAAACTTCAGTCATGAATTCAAACTCAGAGTATGGCAGTTGCAACACACACACATAGACAAGATAGGGCAAATGAGCCGAGGAGTGGCAGGTCGAGTTTAATTTAGATAAATGCGAGATGTGGCATTTTGGTAGGGCAAATGAGGGCAGGACTTACATATTTAATCATAAGATCCTGGGGAGTGTTGCAGAACAAAGAGACCATGGGTGCAGGTTCTCAGTTCCTTGAAAGCAGAGTCGCAGTTAGACAGGGTGGTGAAGAAGGCTTTTGGTATGCTTGCCTTTATTGATCAGTGCATTGAGTATAGGAGTTGGGAGATCATGCTGCGGCTGTACGGGATATTGGTTAGGCCTCTTTTGAAATACTGCTTTCAATTCTGGTCTCCCTACTATAGGAAGAATATTGCGAAACTTGAAAGATTTACAAGGATATTGCCAGGGTTGGAGGGTTTGAGCTATAAGGAAGAGGCTGAATAGGCTGGAGCTATTTTCCCTGGAGCCTTAGAGGCTGAGGGGCGGCCTTTATAGAAGTTTATAAAATCATGAGTGGCATGGATAGAGTTAATAGTAAAGGTCTTTTCCCAGAGTAGGGGAGACCAAAACAAGAGGACACAGGTTTAAGGTGAGAAGGGAAAGATTTAAAAGGGACCTAAGGTGCAACTTTTTCATGCAGAATATGGTGTGTGTATGGAATGAGCTGCCAGAGGAGGTAGTGGAGGCTGGTACAATTAGAACATTTAAAAGGCATCTGGATGGGTACATGAATGGGTACATCTGGAAGGGTTTAGAGAGTTATGGGCCAAATGCTGGCAGATCAGATGAGTTTAGGATAGCTGGTCAGCACAGTCCAGTTAGACCAAAGGGTCTGTTTCCGTGCTGTATATCTCTATGACTCTATTGTTCTAAAATAAACAACGTACTACATTAAAATTCTGGAATTTGATTGGCCTTAAGTACATGTAGCATGGAAAACAGTTTTCTGGTTTCAGTTTGGGGCAGTTCTGTAGGATTCTTTGCAAAGGCTAAATATGTAAAGCAGGGAAAAGGTAGTTTAGAGTTGTAAGGAGTTTAGTTTAAAAAGATCCACAGCAATAGTGGTTGATTAAAATCCTGAAGGGATTATGTGAAGCTGAGGATCTTTAAGCTCAGTTATGTGATGAATCAAGAGGCTATCAGGTTCTCATGAATGGGAATTAAAGTCTCAGCCATGTCAAATCCTATGCGGTTTTAGAGAGACGATTTCTCTTCAGTATTTGAGAATTGCAATGGGATTCTCTTGGGATTAAGAGGATTGTAGTTTTACTGTATGTTTCAAAGTCTTTAAAAATGTTTTACATATAAATAGTTTGATTTATTTTATTTTATCTTTATTTCTTTTGTATCATAAAATTTTGTTTTATTATTGCTAAACCCAAAATTTATATGTTGCTGTTCAAGTGAAAAATCAGCTTGTTAATATAAAAAAAATATATACCATTTATAATGGATGATGTCACAGGATTAGAGGAGACAGATTGAGGGTTTTGCGAAAAGATGGATGAACAAGAGTTTTTTTTTAAGGCAGTAACTGATAATATGCAGAAAACACTGCCTATGAATGCCAGAGATGGTAGTGGCTGGTACATTACAACATTTAAAAGGCTGGGTAAATGAACAGGAAGGGTTCAGAGAGATATGGGCCAAATACTGGTAAATGGGGCTAGATTAATTTAGAACATCTGGTTGGCATGGACGAGTCAGACCAAAGGGTCTGTTTCCGTGCTGTACATCTCTATCACTCTATGACTCTGTGATCCATTAGACAGATTTTAGTCTGGGATCTGAGTTGTCCACTAATACCATTAGCTAGGATTATATTAATTTCATGC